TAAGTAGAAAGTAAAGTGCATTTTAATAAAGATTTATACACTTATTAAAATAATATACATAGTATAACTAACATAAGAATTTATATATTATCAAGAATTGTTCTTATCTTCATATAATCACTCTCTGTTTCCATGTTCTCATTCACACATGGTGTATTCATTACTACTATTATATAACATAAGAAATAAAAAAGGTTCCTGATAGTATACTTTATTTTAACTTTTTATGAAATATATGTCACGTGATCATGTAATGAGATACTCTGAATGCTGATAAGAAATTTGAAATATTTTTCTATTAGCTGATAGTGCAACTATTAATTTAGAATATTTCAATTTTTAAAAGCATAAGGTAGGATGGAATATTTTATGTACAAGTAAATAATATATTTATTTTACTTCTGATTATTCAAGTTTGATCATTTTCATGATATATGATGTAACACCTAAATATTAGGAAAAAATGTATAAAAAGTTTTAATTTTCTCGAGAATTATACCATTTGAAATTTCATAATATTTGTTCTAACTTTTGCAAATTGAATGTAATAGGCAATGAAAATAAAAAGTATAATACATATTTCACAAGAAAGTAGTGTTAAAGTTGAGTTAGAATCAAGATAACTGTAATATGTATAATAAAATTAATGAAACACTTTGATATTTTATTAAATTGATTTAGTAAAATATTGATATAAAAACTTTTGATCATACCACTCCTAATCACCTAATCAATTATCATTACGTGTCCAGCATTAAATGTATATTAGGATTGTCAACCTATAAAGCGCAAATAAAAGAAGAAGGAAGGGGAACTTTGCTACGCGCATTGAAACGCTCGGATATTAATCGACTCAGTTCATATTCAACGTTTATCGATACAGGACTGGTGACAAGCAAAAACAAACTCAAAAAATGGATATCAGTTCATTGATGTGCAAATCATTACAGTGGCCGGGCTCAATTTCAACATTTTACAATAATCCTTTTCCTCGTAGACCTTGGCTTACTGATACTGGAGCTGCTGCGGCTGCCATCGGTAGTAACGGTGTTAAAGGAATCGTGGCCGGTATTTTTTTTTTTTTGTAACATTTCTTAAAATATTTACTCCTTATTTTGATATATGTATATACATATATATGTATATTTGGTGGCAGTTATCACTTATCGAAATAGACGATAGAATGTACATATATTAATTGGGAGTGTGAAAAAAATACGAATAGCTATCAAAATGAAAAAGAGAAAGATAGACTGAGTCAAGGCATTCAACACATGATAGATTCAAAGGTTGAAAAATATTTAACCTTGGAAATACGCGTAAAAATATTTTTAATTTTATAACGATTTTCCTATTTTATAAATGAGATTGTTTGCATAGTTTCCATTAAAATATACATTGACTGCTTTTGATAAAACTTTCACCAAAAATATAAATATTTTGTAAAAAAAAGAGCAATTAAATATTAAGCAAATTGTGGATTCCGTTCTTTTAGGTGGTATTACCGGCGGTATAGAAATATGTATTACATATCCAACTGAATATGTAAAAACACAATTACAACTTGATGGAAAAGCTGGTGCTGGTAAGGAATATACAGGAATATGGGACTGTGTGAAAAAAACTGTAAAAGGTCATGGAATTTTTGGTCTATATAGGGGCCTATCAGTATTAATTTATGGTTCAATACCAAAATCAGCTGTACGTTTTGGTTCCTTTGAAGTAGTGAAAGGTGTATTAGCAGATTCAGATGGAAAACTTACTACTCAAAGAAGTTTGTTAGCAGGATTATGTGCTGGTACATCTGAAGCTATTTTGGTAGTTACTCCCATGGAAGCTATTAAAGTAAAATTCATTAATGACCAACGATCTGTTAATCCAAAGTACAGAGGATTCCTTAATGGAGTATCAATGATTACCAAGGAATATGGTAAGTAGAATATTCATATTATTTAAAATAAAAGAAATTAATTTTAATAAACAATTTTTAATTATAACTTTCATATATTGTTCTAATTTTAAATGCAAGATTAAAAGAAGTTAAGAAATTGGTTATTCCATAGTCTGGAAACAAATACATTTGCCTTGAACTATGTGAACAATGAAAGTAATCTACTTTATGTAAAGAGGTCACATTATATTGCAGATGGTTCTCAGTTTACATGTGTCATAGCACAAAAACATGAATTACTTATTCATGCAATATCTGACCATACTTTATTAAACATGTTTTTTTTTTGTAAAATTATACATAATCTAGTTATAAATATTATTTTAATTTTATAATATGTCACAATTATAACAACATAAAATCATAACATGTGATACAAATTTTATATTTATAATTGTTTTTGCTTAGGATTCAGAGGCATATATCAAGGATTAACACCTACAATTTTAAAGCAAGGATCAAACCAAGCAATTAGATTTTGTATCATGGAAACATTAAAGGATTGGTATAGAGGTGGAGATTCAAATGTACAAATACCAAAATATGTTATTGGTACATTTGGTGCAGTTGCTGGTGCAGCATCTGTTTTTGGAAATACTCCAATTGATGTTGTAAAAACTAGGATGCAGGTAAGCAGTACACTTTTATAATTATTATTAAATTAGGCATTTTTTATAAATAGAGGTCATTAAATTTAAATCACATTTTTAGGGCTTAGAAGCTTCAAAATACAAAAATAGTTTAGATTGTATGTTACAAATATGGAAGAATGAAGGTCCAACAGCATTTTATAAAGGAACTGTACCAAGATTAAGTAGAGTATGTTTAGATGTTGCCATAACATTCATGATCTATGATTCCTTCATGGATATTTTTAATCGAATTTGGTCTTGAAAGTTATTAATTTCTGTATATATACTTGAAACTGTCATTGCAAATGTAGCTTTCATAAGTTTCATAATATGTTTGCACGTTTCATATTTAAATAATGTATCTATAGCTGTATGTTTTTAAAAATGTTTTTATTTCATACATATGAATGTATGCTATTATAATGGGCATTTTAATGAATGAAAATTAGGCAAAACATGAGAAATATACCAAAGAATTCCATTTTTGGTATCAATTATCTTCAATACTAAAAGCTACAATTGCATAGAGCACAAATTCCATTATATATTTTTTTACACAAATTCTTATTTAATATACGATTTATTAATAGAAGGGAAATAATAGTGCGAATGTAATTTACAATTATTTCAATTTTGTTTAAAAATATTGTTTGTTGGTAATCATGTATCAGTTTATTATTGTTATTTATAATATTGTTAGATATTTGACATTCCTATACATTCGAGTCATCGGATGAATGCTTATATTGTGAAAGTTATTTGTACATGATATGCATAAATTATGTATATATGTATATCATCTATTCCAAGAAATATTGTACAGTTTCAGTACAAAATAATAAAAACTGTTTATTACCTGAGCGAAGGAAAATAGATTAATTTTTTTATCAATTTTTTTATATAATGGCATCCAAGTGAAATTAGGATAAAGAAAAAGGGTATAAAAAGGTATTAACTAGAATTATCTATATATACATACACATTCCTTAAAATATAGAACTCTTCGCTCAGATACTCTAATGTATACTAAAATTAACTGAATATAAAAATTTAACCATAATGACTGTGACATTCACATGAAAAGAAACATGTAGAAGTTCCTCTAAAATAGAGTCTGTAATCTTACAATTGCAAAATCTATTTTATTACTTTAGCCACAAAAGACTACTATACATAATACTTTGTATTATTTGTACATCGAAATATATACCTTTACAGTACTATACTTAAACATATTTGATAAATATCTGTTACTCTTTCTTAAAATGCAGAAAATCTTTAGTACTGCAATTACAAAATATTTCTGTATGTAAAACAAAATCTGCCTTTTTTGTATATACTTATAAATGAAGTAAATAACTTTTATTGTCTTATACAAATGTAAATAAAATAATTGTAATATTGTTAATAAATATATTTGCAAAGTTTCAATTTTGAACTTAAAGAACATTATTGCAGTGAATATTATTACTGATTATTTGTATAGTATGCTGTGTATGTTGTACAATATTGCTATTACGCACGTAAAATAGAGATAATTGAAGTGTTACAAGTTTTTAGAAATAGTTCATAAAATTCCAACTATATGTATTTGTTTCAACATGCGAATTCTTCATTTTTATACTTGCACATGTAGATACAAGTATAAACTTAAATGCTGTATATGTGGGGCCCAATATACAAAGGTATAAAAGCAGGCAGTGCCGGCCCCACTCTGGGCCCAAGGGGGGGCCCCGGGGTCACATTCCAAGATGGCTGTGCCTGAGGAATGCAGTGGGTGCCCTCCTAAGACGCCTTCCTCCCTCCTTTTTTATTAATCGAACCGATTCACCTATCCTAGCAAATACTCTGATTACTAGAACGAAGTAGTTAATGTCAGCGTGTATCCGGTGAGTGCCGTCTAAATTTGAAAGTCGCACCTTGCGAAAAATAAATGTGAATGAGAAAAAGAAAGGTGGTGCAGGAAGACCTAGAAAGGCCTTATACTCTAAAATGTGTGGTCTTATCTAATGAAGCTTCCTTGCCGCAGATAATGCTTATGCAGGAGGATGCTACCTGCTCGTCTTAAGCAATGTCTCATAGGGATATCTCTGAGGTAACGACAAGATCCTACGGTATATGACGACGGATATTATTATTATTACATTTGGAGATTAAAACTGTTTAATTTTTTTTTCATTTTGTTTTATTTATTACAAAGTTTGAATTAATATCTATAATTTTAATGATAAAATTGTATT